CTTTTGACATGATACTGGATAATAAAATGGTTGTAAATGTTCAAAAATTTTCTTTGTTTGTAATGAAAGAAATTTACTAGACGAAGAATACGAATAAAACTCCTTATAAAGAGATGGAAAAATGTAAAGAAGAATAAATACACTTATGCATATTCTTGGTAGTAATCGACGTTTGAATGTAAACTGTGTTATTAGTATATTATTTGTATGTTTTTCCATTTATACGTGTAGATATTTGTTAACTTCTAACTAATTCAATAATGATTTCGATGCTAGAAACAAAAAAATAGATTTGAAAACATATATTTAGATTTAATGGGACAAAGTCATTTCGTTCTACGTGTCACGGACACTCGGGAATTCGTTCAGATATACTTTTCTCGTTTATCTTTGTCATATTTTATATAACCTTTTCTTATTTTCTTCAATCCTTCAGATGGTACCCACTAATATGCATATAAAGGGTGAAATACGACAACAATACTTTGCAACAGCTTGGACCTGAATCAAACATATTAATAATTCACTTTATTTATTTAAATCATATTCAGTAAATATCTTTTCTTTTATTACAGCAATTTTGTTGAAAAACGCATTGCGTTCGAAACGTCAGTCACTATTATATTCAATTTAAATTAATAAAGGAAAAAATATCTACTTAATATGATTGATGTAAACTTCCTTAAAGATATAACGAATTTATAGAACAATGTTGTAGAAACATTCATAATTCTTTTTTGATATTCTTTCAAAAGAATCAAATAGATTATTATCATCATATCCTTATGACACTTTAGAATGTATATATCTGAGTCGATTTTCATACATAATAGAAGATTTAAATGAGCGGTTTATTTCATTATGGTGAACGTCGAATTTTCAATTTCTTACATTCCCATAAACGATTATGGGTATACATTGGAAATATGATTGTATAATGAAAACATTGAATCTTACTTGATTTATTGGCTGGTTTCATTTAAATTACATTGCCAATACAGATTATAGAGGTTAAAAAATTAATTTAGTTAAGTATCTGATTGTATTGGAACTAAATTCTGATTTTTCAAGATGATTCTTCTTGTTCTCCATGATATTTATTATTATTATGTTATCAAGAAACCTTCATCTATCAAAGAAGTATACAATTAATACGTGTTGATCTACTTCATATAATACATGGTTTCAAATATTTGTATGAAGATATTTACTACAATAGCATTTTATCGTTGAAATAACCATGAACCGTTAGTCTATCTTGTTATGAGTATAAATCACGAAGAATATCATATCCAACACATCCACTGTTTTTAAAATAATTATAAAAAAATTTATATTAAAGAAAGAGTGTAATGATCATTCATTGTTTCTATTGCAAAACATTTCACCATGAATAAAAGAACTATCTATCTTTCATATATATAATTTTTGTTTGTGATAATAAGCTTTTTCAGAAGATATGCCATCGACAGATATATGAACAAGTTGGTATAGAAAAATAACAAAAAACTCTTCCGAATATTCGTTTATGTAGTCGCATTTGGGTGAGTATTCATCGTTAGTCGACGATCTCGCGGCATCGTTCTTTTCAAATCATTGTTTTTCTTTTTCTTAAAAAGAATCTTGATAGAATACAAGAGAGAAACAGAATCATGTTTTGTCTCTAACGTTTATATATATTATTCACTTGATATTATTAATTGTCAGATCGTTAACATGATCTTATGGAAAAGGTAATTTAACATTTTTAATAGATGATTTTTTTTCTGTCATCAAAAGAATTCATTATAGTATTGTCCATCAATGTTCAGATATGATTTCTCTATAAGTTAACACTTTATAGAAGAAAAAAAAATGTTCTCAAAATACATGATTTGATGATCAATTTTCACAAAAGTATATCTGTTGAAAAAAGTCGCTTTTAAGAATAAAACAACTGTAAAACAAATAATGTGAATAATCAAGTTTTTGTCAGATTGAGTCATCTAAACATTACTTCATCATGATCGCCATTATTTAACTGCGTTAAGTTCCATGAAATGTTGTATATATTAAAAGATCGTCACAGTGAATTAGATAGATGAGTTTATTGTATCATTTGAGATGTATCACATAAAATTATTTAATGCGTATAAATGAATGAGCAACTTGAGATTTTTATCGATCATTATTTCTTAACCTATCATCCGTAAAAATAGTCATAGTTATAATTTATTGTTTCTATTTTCATAAAATTTCTTCTTAATAGCACAATAACATTCGTTGTTATATCAATAACATCAAATAAATAGTAGTCTCTTTTCTTTGTCTATTTGAATCTTCTACTAGGCAGGCAGTCGGCGGTTAAACGAAAATATCTTTGTATTAGACAGACACAACCTGATGTAATATTTGTTCTGAATAACAATAAATTGCCTGTTGTATATAGATATATATATATATGTGTTTAGTTTATATATATATCATCTTGCCGCTGCCATCATCGTATGTAGTAGCGAGAGGGCATGCACGGTTGATGTTTCACTTATCGCATTATGTTCAAACTGTGCTCGATAGCACATCGTCTACAGCTTGTTTAAGTTAGAACATCATTCCCTAGTCGACAATGATGATGATGATCAATGCATTCCAGATTGAACATAAAAAAAGAATAACAAAAGGATCGATACCAAATGTGCTGATTGTCAAAAAAAAAGAAAAAACAATAACGAAAAGTCACTTGATTTATGTTTAGACTCAAATAATAAAAATTCATACATAGAACAAGGTCTTTTTTTTTCTAACTAAGCATGTCTACGCAATTTAAAGGTCAATTATCATATTCAGGAAAACAACGAGTATTGATTGCTCAATCATCTATAATAATAAATTCAAGTCAAAGAATTGATTTCCTAATCATCTTTCTTTCTTTCAAGTAGAAACAAAAAAAAAGAAGAAGTGTCAGACTTTTTTTCTCTATTTCTATTGATTTTCGCACAATAATCGATAAGTGATAAAAGGCCGACACCTGCTTAGTCTAAAGTGAATAATCTTTTTCTTTTCTAGTAAGTAATGCCATTATCCAAACGTTTATTTATTCTTAAACAAACGAGAAAAAGAGAACGAACAAGCTGCTCAGCTTGTCATAATCCTTTTTTCTCTGTCTCTTCTCTTCTTCTCTCTTTCCTTTTCTCTCTTCTCTATCCATTCGTTCAATCATTCATTCATTTTTAGAATAAACGACATGCAACGATTAGTAAAAAGGTAGTATTACTCTACATTGAATAATGAATATTTAATTTAATTATGAATACAAGACAACTATTTATATCATGTAAGTTTATTAATAATTCATTCTATTTTTTTGTTATTGTCAAGTATATCTAATTCTGATTTCACACCTAAGTTAGAAGTGAATTAATCCTTTTGATTCTCATACAACAAGAAAAAAAAAGGTCAACATTTTTCCTTTATACACATATGAAAATGTCATGAATATTTGTTTTATATGAGAATGATCCTTATCATCATTAGTTATAGTTGTCTATAAAGCTATAAATGTGAACGGGATCAACATCTCTCTTTTATCCCAATGTTTATTTTCGATACTTTAGTTTTTTTACTAATCTTAATCAGTCATGGATTGACAGCAATTGTTAATACCAATGATTTTCCTCAAATTCTAACACGACAACATAATCAAACATTAAATTTATCTGATACAGCTATTTTAACATGTCATGTTACTAATTTGGGTAATCATCATGTAACATGGCTTAAATATGATCGTAATACTTCAACATTTTTACCATTAACAGTTGGTGAACAAGTATTTTTATCTGATAAACGTTATTCTGTAACCTATTATTCCATCTCATCGGATAATTCCTATTGGAATTTAGAAATTTATAATACAAAATTATCGGATGAAGGTATTTATGAATGTAAAATATCGAATCGTCGTCGTAGTGTATCAATTAAAATACATTTATATATACAAATACCAATGAGTATTCAACCATCACGTTTATATGTTGAACCTGGTTCGGAAGTTGAATTAGATTGTATGATTTATAATATAAATACATCATCTATAACATGGGCTTTTTCAAGTTATGATAATACATATCATTATAGCAATCATTTAGATGGTATTCATGAAAAAATTCAACATGAAAAAAATATTTCCAAATTACAATTAATTATTCCACATGCACAAACTTATCATTCAGGTTTATGGACATGTACATATAAAAGACAAAGACGAAGTGCAAGAATTTTAGTAGTTAAAGGTTAGTTGACGAAAATTTATTTTTTTTCTCTCCTCAAGGATTTTCTTTAATAAAGACCTTCAGTAATGGCATATCCTGTCTTCTTTTGTGACTAGAAAATAGAATTCTTATGGATCATTGACTACATCCATTTCTTTTTGAGTATTGATCTGTTATAAAAGATGTCTAATCAAACAGCTATAGGATATTTCTTAATCAAAATGTCGTAATTTGTTATGGGGCTTATTACAATTATATATTTTGTTTGTAGACTAGGATGAAATTACACCTGTTTATATGTCATGTCTATCTGTCTGTCTATTTTTAGGCGCTATGCAACGTTTGTTATCAAACAATCATTCTTCATCGAATGTACAATGTACAATGAGTCTTATTTTATTTGCACTTCTCCTTGGCCATCATATAACTCGTAGAATATAACATGTACACACTTATTATTCGTAACCATCAATGAACAGTATCCAACAACAATCAGTCAAATCGACACATTTTAAAATGACTATGTTTTACTTCTTTTGAATATGTATATAGAAGAAAAAAAATCATAATGAACAATTAATAAAAGAAGTTGTCGAGACTAGTGCTTGTTATAGACAATTATCGCTATAGGAGCACCTTTTATATGTTTGAATTTAAGCATAAATCACCATTTTACTTTTTCATCTTAATTAAACAATAGTAGGTGATAAGCAAGAAAAAGAAAATGTCTTTGTCGATCAGTAGTCTATTGTTCGTTACATTTGCATTCTATAATGTTGTGTAATGAATGAATTTATTAAGTAGATTCTATTTCTTTTTTTTTTGCTTCTATAATTGTGATTGACAGTGATACTTAAGAATCTCTTTCTTGTTGTCTGTTTGCATGATGCAATGTGTTCGTACTGTCACATTAATTCAGTTCTGATAATGACAAAATTTTGATTGACTCTTTTTTTTCTTCTTATTCAAATATAAATGAATATATATGTATACATAAGAGTTTATTATTGATCTATTATATGTTTAAATGCATAATATATAAATTTTCAATAATAACAATAATCGAATTGTTTGTTGTACAGATGTACATTTGTGTGTGTTAGAGTCATGCATGTCAATTGATCATATAGATGAAACAATAGGATCAGGAAATGGAGAAAGGTTAGATAAAAATAAAATCAACATAGCAATGAAAAGAAGAGGAGACGTGAACTTTGTTTTAATAACATTGGAAAAAGCTAATGTCAACTAAACATTGAATGAAATGGACTTTTCTTAATTGTATAGGACAATAAATGGATTGAGTAACATTTTAGATCGTCCAAGGATTTTACTTTTGTATACATTTATGAATATGCATTTACAAATCTTATTTAAAAATCTATTTTTTTTCTGTTATAAATGATAAAGTTCTACTTGTTTGATTGTTCATTCAGTATTAAAACTAATGGTACATTATTGATTTGTCGTAAACATAACGTCTTATCTTAAATAATGGCTTTTTTTGCATCAATTTTATGTTTTATAGTTTTAATTGAGCTACTAAAGAAAGATTGTGAAGTATTAAATCGATAATGAGGTCATGTATAAAGTCGCTAAAAGTTGGAAATATGAATGTTTTTTTTGGAATCGAATTTTTTACATAGCAGTCGATATTTCAGCTATATTATTATACGGCAAATTTGAAGCTTTTAAGATAAACCTATTTAAATTAATCCAAGGGTTTTAGTTTTATTTGATTTCACTGTTATAAGATATCGAAATGATTTTATTATGATTATATAGTTCAAATACTTTTAAAAGTTTGGATATAAATGTCGTTGAGGTATTTAAATGCACATCCATATAGGAACTTTTTCTATAGTGCTTTTGAATTTCACTCGATAGCTATGTACTCAGGTATTCTAAGATCGTAAAACTATATAACATCAAGTCTTTCTTATATATTTTCTTTTTATAGATACTTACCTGCTGTAAATATACATCTGGTTAAGCTGTATTTATTTAGTGTGATTATGAGTCACATTAAACCTTAATAGTATAAATATGCCGATAAGAAAAGTAGGTTGAATCGTGTTGTTGTCAATACAATATTAAATGTATACTTATTAGGATATTGTATGCTAATAAGTATTATCTTCGTATCGACTTTTGCTTGTTACTGCATTATTTTTTTTTGTTATCTGACTTAAAATAATAAGATTCTTGTTAGAAGACGAAGTCATATGAATGCACTTTGACTTTTATATTTTTCATTAAAGATATTGCAGAAAACGAATTCTCATGGTTCTTTTTAAAGGCATCATAATAAAACAAAATATTCATGAATATAAATATTACTAATTTCTCTTCAGTTAAACTTTAATCAAATAAACTAAAATTTTTATCGAATTCAGAATTATTTATGGTATTCGTATATTATTCATTTTAAAGACAAAGAGAACACATCAGTTTGTCTGTACACTTCTCGGCCTATAAAAATCGAAGCTCTTTGATATATGTGAAGTATTGTATGACTCGTCTAAAATAAAATATTTCATTATGTGTACAATAATAATCAGTGATGTATTAAAATATCAGTCGAGTTCTTTGAATGAGAAACTGAATGTTCAGTTCTATTTAAGGTAAAAATAAAAATTATATTCATTAGGATTATAGTACTAACAGTTACATGGCATGAAGAGAACATATATGTGATTGCAAAATGTTCGGCTTCTTCTTTTTAGTTTTAAGTAAACCATTCTTCAAAAAAGGAAACTTCATATTTGCCGATGTTTTTGACATATGAGTAAGGAGTGTTAGTCGTTTACCTAAATTTTTACTTAAAATATTAATTTTCTTATACTATCTCTTCAAACCAAGAGTTCAGCTATAAAGTCTATGTACGGATTAATCTAGTAGATACCAGTAACTCTAAAACATTTAACAGAATCAAATATATAATTTCCAAAATATCGCGGTACAAAACTCTACTCGTCGATATCGAAAGGATATAAAAGTTTAGTTACTCAAAAATTAAACAGATCCAAAAAGCTAGGTATATACACTCTAAAATCTTCAGAAATCTTAATAGTTAATTAATCTTCCCTACAAAAAATATTGAATGAGAGTTCTTTATTTCGAATAAACAAGCACTGAGACCCTGACAACTTGCCACTAACATACTGCAAATGTGGACGTTTCGAAACGTCTTCATCTCAATAATATTTACAAATACCTCCAAATGAAACTAATGCTACGAAAACAATCTGACATGTATTCCAGTAAACAAAGCAACGGATATTTCTTCCTTTAGATATGATAATCATCAATCTCTCAATGACAAAATGTCTTTTCTATTAAAATCCTACGATAAAAACACACAAACTATTTCATAAATTTCGTTTTTCTTTCGTTTCTCTCAGTTAAGGAACTGCTACTAGACAGCCACCAATCAGTGCTTCAACTAACATCGCAGCAATATGACACTTTCGACCGAGCTTTGCTTGCTACATTTTCAACAATTACCCCAGTTCTGTAGCCTCTGCTAACTATGGGTACAAGAAAAAAGTTCCTATTGCTACAAGATATCATATATATTTATTCAATCGGTATAGAATCTTATAAACATTAAAAACAAAAGCATTCTTGTTTGCGGTTGCTACTGTTAGTAATGATTCTCACCAAAAATCTATTCTCGTTCCAATATTTTCTTCGCATATTTTCTGGAGTCGTGCGCGTGCATCATTACCGATTTGATTAGCTCCCAGCTTGAGTGTGGTGAGCGTCTATGGAAATGATGAAGTGGAGTAAAGAGAAAGAAGAACGAATATTGTTGTTACTTTGTTGATTTGTAAAGCATTAACAAGGTCTTGTGCTCCTTGCTCACCGATTCCGTTCTTACTAAGGTCCAGTGTGGTAAGTGTCTGTGTGCATGATGAAGTAAAGTGAACAGGAAAAAGAAAAAGTATTATTGTTACTTTGTTGATTTGAAGAGCATTGGCAAGATCTTGTGCTCCTTTATCACCGATTTTATTGTTGTAAATACTCACTGTGGTAAGTGTCTACGTGAAAAGTTTGTGAATGATGAAGCGAAATGAAGAGGAAGAAGAACAAGTTTTATTGTTACTTTGTTGTTGTATAGAGCATTGGCAAGATCTTGTGCTCCTTCATCATCGATATCATTCCAACTAAGGTTGAGTGTGGTGAGTGTCTATGTTAAAAGTGTGTGAATCATGAAATGAAGTGGAGAGGAAGAAGAACAAGTATTGTTGTCACTTTGTTGATTTGTAGAGCGTTAGCAAGATCTTGTGCTCCTTCATCACCGATGTCATTGCCGCTGAGGTTTAGTGTAGTGAGTGTCTGTGTGAAAAGTGTGTGAATGACGAAGTGAACTGAAGAGAAAGAAGAACAAGTATTGTTGTTACTTTGTTGATTTTTAGAGCATTGGCAAGATCTTGTGCTCCTTTTGCACCGATTATATTCCA